GTCTGTTTTTCTTTTCGTTTTTGTGTAAATAATAGCTAGTGAGTAATAGTGCCTCAAGCAAAGCTTCACTTGGGCCTAACACATTTGCCTTTGACCTTATGATTATTAGTGTGTATAGGATGGTGACAGTTGTGACCTTGAGACTCTTGTGTTGGCTAATAATCATCAAGTGGTTTTTCGGGACCATTTGCATTGCTCAAATCTTATCTAAGGTTGTTGTGGGCCCCCGACTCTGTCTCGTTAGCAATCCTATAGCTTGTGTGGTGAGAATTTGATTTGCAAGTCCAAGTCTCGTGCCATTGAGTCTAGAACTTGCCCTGAATGTTAATCTAGGCAAAATCCTAAGTGTAGTTTGAATTGAGAAGTGATTATAGGCTCTCCTTGATCCGAATGGTATCTTGAAAACATCCATAGTCTACCAATGATAATATCCCTAGTCAACCCCTTTTGAGCCATAGCCCTTTTTCTTTCAAAGACCATGATACAAGCCTTTACCCGTTTTAAAAAGACCCTCTCTTGGCACCCGACCTTTCCTTAGCACAAGGCAAAAGCATAAGTTTGGGGGGAGAGAAGAGGAATGCAAAAAGTGGTAAAAAGTAGAAAATGAAGAAAAGGGACGACAAAAAGAAAAAGAAAGAAAATCAAAAAGTCAAAAAGAATGAATAAATGTTGAAGAAATGAAGGGATTCAATAAAAGTAAAAAGATGAATGGCGTGGAAATATTAGAAAGGAGAAAAAGGTTTGAAATGAACAAGAAAGAGGGACGGTGTGTCTCTCTAACCCCTAAGAAAGAAGTAAATGACTCAAAGAGTCAAGAGAATGTGTGCCAAAATGAAGCAAATGAAGTGCTTAAGGGAAGATGAAATCTTCTTAGACCAAATATATCCTACCCTGAACCAAAAGCCTTCATTGTATCCCCACAAAAGCCCTATATGATCTTGAGTTGAGTGAAGCTTACATTAGTGGTGACTCGCAAGGGCAAGCTTATGGTACTTAGAGCCGGACTTGTGACCTTTCTTTGAGAGAGATGAGTATGTTTTCCACAATCCTCGTTCTGAGTGCTACAATCTAAAAGTGAGGTTTTGCTTAAGGGAGAGTAAGGAGTATGAGTTTGGGTTCCACAATACCAAAGCAGTAGAAGGGGCTTCCTTGATGAGTTGAGTCAACTCTTGATGCTTTTGTGTCGCACTAAAACCATGGTGCTTAAAAAGGTTGAATGTTGTTAATGATTCATTTGAATTGAGGGCAATTGTTAGTCCCAATTGATGCTAGATGAGGTCACTTTAGGTCAGCTGAATTTTCTTGGTTTTATTCTTAAGGAGGTGGGACTTACTTTGATTCCTTGAGGACAAGCAAAAGCTTAAGTTTGGGGGAGTTGATAACAAGGGATTCTAGTCTATTTTATACTCCTTTTTGCTTCAGTTTTGGATTAAAAGTGTATACAAGTAATCCCGAAGGCTTACATGTTGTGGTTGTTTGCAGGGTTTGGTCAAAAAGTGACAAAGAAGTCAAAACCAGCTCAAAAAAGGAGTGAAACCTGCACAAGTGCCAAGAACAAGTCAAAGCACCGCTGACCGCAGTAAATCCGCTGCGGATGCAATAGACCCATCGCGGTCGCGGTCCATTTAGTGTGGTCCGCGGTGGAAAAGATCAGAGAAGATGCAATCCTGGAGTTTCAAGCAATGCGGCCCGCGGTAGATTCTTTGCGGCCGCGGTAGCCTCATCGCGGCCGCAGTCCACTTGTTGCGGTCTGCGGAGAAGGGATTCAGAGAGCTAGGATTTTGGAAGTTCCAAGACACCGCTGACCGCGATGCATTTTGTGCGGTAGCGGTAAAGCCATCGCAGCCACGGTCCATTTATTGCGGTCCGCGGTGGCTAGATTCAGAGAACAAAGACGAGCCAAAAAGCCTTAACGCGGCCGCGGTCCGCGGTCCGCGGTACCTCCGTCAGGGGTATTTTTGTCCAGAAAATTCGGCCTTGTATAAATACTTCTTTTTCAGATTTTTAGGGTATCTTATCTGTAGCTGAGCACGTGAACGCCATTTTTTAGCTATTTTGAGTAATTTTGTAGCTAGCTTAACATTCAATCTTCGAATTTTAGCTTGTAATTATATTTTATGTGTTATTATTCATCTCAATATCTGATTTCTTCCATTATTATGAGTAGCTAGACCCATTAGCTAGGGTTGTGGCTCAACCCTAATGTGGGTATTTGATGGGTCTCTTGTATTAGGGATTAGATATTTATGGGTGGTTGATATTTGGCCTGATTTGTGTTTTTAATGTTGAATTAGTGGTTGCAAACACTAATTTGTGCCTTTTTTACTTGGGCTCTCTTGAGAAAGAGAGCTTGAGTCTAGGAAAATCAGGCCAACAAGGAATTGGGGCGTATTCAAGAGATTGATAGCCCCAATTAAAGGATTAAACTTAGAGATAGTAATACCCGACTTGAGCCTATATTGCTTGCACAATTTTGACACCACATTGGTCTTGAGAAAGCCAATTAGGGCAAAGTCACTCAAGCTACCGAGAGGTATAGAGTGAGTAGCTTCGTGCATTGGCTATATCGCAATCCCAAACATAACAACTTTGCCTTAGACTTTAGAACCCGTCAAATATTCACCTAGGGCAAAGTCACTACCCTAGTGCCTTTCCATAAATTAAGAAAACCACACAAAAAGATATCATACTTAGCTTAATTTCAGAATCATTAGTGATAATCTAGATTAGTGAATCATCAACGCATGTTTAGAAGTGTAAACAATTACTTTGCACGTTACTAGTATAGATAGGAACTCAATTTCCAAACAATCTAGCTCCCTGTGGATTCGATCCCGACCTTCTCGGGTAAAAGCTCATCGACCGCTCTTGCCACTTTGTAGTGGTGTAGGGTTGGACCCGATCAGGAACCACCTCATATACCGTCGGAAAACTCTCGTCCCCCGCCAGACCCACTCCCTTTTCGAGTAGGGCTATATCGCTTTCTGGCACCAGAGCACCAACGGCTCTATCAGGGTTGGAGGATGCACTAGCCATCTCTTCTTTACAACAACAACATACCCAGTAAAATCCCACTAGTGGGGTCTGGGGAGAGTAGAGTGTACGCAGACCTTACCCCTACCCCGAAAAGGGCAGAGAGGCTGTTACCAGGAGACTCTCGGCTCAACAGGAGAGGCAATAATATCAAAAAAGAAATAAGAGAAAAGACATGTAACAACAAAAGATACCAGAAAGAAAATAACCACGACAAATAAGTGAAAGGACAATAACACAAAACTATGCAAAACAACAATGTGAATACAACAAAGACCGCTAACAAACCTAAACGAAACTCTATCAGACTACCCAGTACAAAGAGGGAAGAACTCTCGACTACCCCCTAGCCTACCACCCTAATGCTTGACCTCCACATGTTCCTATCAAGAGCCATGTCCTCGGAAATCTGAAGCCGCGCCATGTTCTGCCTGATCACCTCGCCCCAATACTTCTTAGGCCGTCCTCTGCCTTTTTCTCGTACCTGCCAAAGTCAACCACTCACACCTCCTAGCCGGTGCACTAGGCATCTCTTCTTTGATTGCGAAAATTAGGAATGATAAGGGAAAAAGGTAGCGGCCACAGGAATTTTTAACAGAAAAGGAAATGTGAGAAACTGAAGGAGAAGAAGAAAAGCTGCAAATGTCTCTCTTGAGCAATTGGGAAGCATAACATTCAAATGTAAGATTTTCCCCTATTTATAGGGATATAAATACCCTGAGCGGGAAAACCAAACGCCGCCATTTTGAAAACGTAAAGGGCACGGGAAATGACACAATGCATAGAAAACGTGCACCATAATGACGCATGAGGAGTTTTGATGACATTCTGAACTGATGTGACGATCTGATGCAGCTCTCGAAACATCACGTTGCTACTTCGCCACGAGGTACTCGCCTCTCGTATAAAGTACTAAGATTTCTCACAACTTTCGAATCGACAGAGTCCGCCCATCGAGCTTGCCAAAAGACGACCCCAATAGGCGGAGGGACTAACTATATGGGTCGAAATCTGACCAGACGAGAATCCGCGTGAAGAGGAACGGAAAGTCACTTGGGCCAAAGTCGTATCCATAAAACGCTATAACGACTCGCACCGCAGCCACGGTCGAGATCGTGTATTCAGAACGCTTGAACGGCGAATGGAATTTTACGGCATTTCAGAGGGTCAACCAGTAATACAGTCAAATGACTTAGGCACTATGGCTAATGACCGTTGGGTAAATGAGAATACCTAGTATATAAACTAAGTGGGAAGAAGAAGAAAGGGGGCTGAAAAAAATTCACATACAGAGATATTTTCAGAGAGGAAGAGGGATCTTCATCTCTTTTCCCCTCGCTAAGGAGAAAGAAGCAAGGAAGCTCAGATCCTCAGTATACGTCATTAGTCTCATCATATCAAATCTGTGGGGGTCAACCTTGTTAAAGATTGGTGACTCTTTTGTTCTATGTATTCTTCGCTATTATTCAATGTTATGAAAATCACCATCCTCTTCTTAAATTACGGGATTCAATTATTGCTATGATTAAATTTTATGTTCCGCTATGCTTGCTTGTTCTTGTCTTCTGCCTCAGATCTAGAAAGAATTATCTTTGACTAGGATTTACTTCAAATATTCCTGTTTAATTAGTTTATAAAAAGGTTTAACACTTTTTAGTCAAACAAGTATAGGAATTTGATTGTTGGTATTAAGGGTTGTTTCATAGCACCATAATTCTTGGAGAAGTGCTTCTTTAAAGACTGATTTTACAAAATCTAATTTTTTTTTTTTGGTTAAACTGGAAACTTTTATTTAACCAAGTGTAAATATGTACATCCACCCGCTCATTGGACTCTAGAGACGGGTCTTACAAAAATAGCCTATCTTTTTATCACTTAAGTTCCACATCTGGAACTTAAACTCTATACTAACATGGATATCTATTTATCCTATCTAAGACAACTCTCCATTTACAGTAGCTATTTCCTTAAATGTGTAAATGCAATACAATTTCTCTAACTCTATCCCTACTTTCTTTCCTTGTCTGTTGAAACCTTCGTAAGTTCCTTTCCATCCATGTGTGATATACTGTTGCTGCAAAGGCATTTCCAAGAATCTTCCATTTTGTATTCCTGCTCTTTGTTTTTGTAGACATCCATTCAATCTCTTCCTGCCATCTACCTACTTGTCGATCAATTCCAAACAGCCTCGAAATTTGCTTCCATATGAACTTTGAATATGAGCATTCAAAGAACAAGTGATCATGAGTTTCCTCTTCATCTGTCATACACAGAACACATTCTGCAGGTACTGGTATTCCCCATTTGATCAGCCTATCCACAGTTGCTAGTCTCCGATGCAGTGCCATCCACAGAATGAATTGATGCCTAGGGATCATACCTTATGTCAAGTACAATGTCTTCCAAGTAACTTTTGGATATTGTGGTATGAAGGAATAATAACCTGTGCTGATGGTATACTTCCCCTGTACAACATATAGTTCCAGCTCTTGTATTCCAGTGGTTAGCCATTTTTTGGCTTCAAATATTTTCCTTACCACCCAGCTAGCCTGTTTAGGAGTTTCCATGTTTTCAATCTCTTTCTTCTTTATATAGTGATTATGTATCCACATAACCCATAACTTGTCTTTCTTCTTTGCAATTGCCCATAACAGTTTCCCTATTGCTGCTCTATTCCACATAGAGAAGTTTATAATGTTCAGTCTTCATGCTGCTCTTGGCTTGCAAATTGTATCCCATGCTATAGGAGCTTTCTTTCCTTCATTGCTTCCATGCCATAGAAAGTTCCTGCATATCCCTGTAACCAGATCATGTACTTTTTTTGGAATCATGAAGACTTGTGCCCAGTATGTTTGCATTTCAAACAACACACTTTTGATTAGTTGGACTCTCCCTGCATATGATAAAAAGCTGGTTGTCCAGCATTTGACCCTTCCTGCATTCTATCAACCAAAGGCATGCATTGACTAATGGTGAGTTTTTTTAAGGACAAAGGGACACCTAAGTACTTGAATGATATTTCTCCAATGGTGAACTGCAACTTCTCCAGTATTTCTTGCTTGTGTTGATTAGATATTCCTGCCACATAGAATGAGCTCTTTTCCATGTTAGCCTGTAAGCCTGAAGCTGTGGAGAATTTTTCAAATTGTTTCATCATAAGTTCAATAGATACCTTATCAGCTCTACAGCACATTAATAAGTCATCAGCAAAACAAATGTGAACTATTCCCAATTTTGCACATTTAGGATGATAGTTAAAATCTGGATTTGATTTCAGCTGCTTTAAAGATCTGTTCAAGTACTCCATTACCAAAACAAAAAGATAAGGTGACATTGGGTCACCTTGTCTTAATCTTTTTTTCGCCTGAAACTTTGTTATTAATCCTTCATTGATCAGTAGGGAGTATGAAACTGTGCTTACACACTCCATAATTAGATTGACCATTTTGCAAGGAATACCAAGTTCCAGCATAAGAGCCCTTAGAAAATTCTAGTCCACTGAGTCATATTCCTTTCTAATATCCACCTTAACTGTACATCCTGGTGAAACTGTTTTCTGATTGTACCCTTTGATCAGTTCATGAGCTAGAATTACATTGTCCAAGATGTTTCTTCCTTCTATAAATGCTGACTGTGAAGGATCCACCAGATAATCCACTAACAACTTCAGCCTAGTAGTAAGCAGCTTGGCAATAATCTTGTACATTGTAGAATAGCATGCAATAGGTCTGAATTCCTTTACATAGTTTAGATTTGTCACTTTAGGTATGAGTGTGACAGTGGTGCAGTTGATCTCTCTAAGCAGCTTCCCTGTTTCAAAGAATTGCATTACTGCCTGTATAACATCTTCACCAATTACTTCCCAGTTTTCTTTGAAAAACTCAGCTTGATATCCACCTATTCCTGGAGCTTTATCATTTGGTAATTCTTGTACCACCCTTGTAATCTCCTCTTCTGTTACAGGCCTTATCATTTGTTGCTGTTGTGCCATTGATAGACAGGGTCCATCTCTGACTATGCTAACATCAATTCCAGTCATCACTGGGGCAGCCTCTCCTAGTAGCTTCTTGAAGAATTGTATAAACTCCTGCTGAATCTGCAGGGGATCAGTCAATCTCTCATTTTGTTCTGTACAAATGGATGTGACTCTATTCCTTGCCTGTCTGGCCTTCAATTGAGCATGGAAATATTTAGTATTAGAGTCTCCATGTTTGATCCATATAGCCCTTGACTTCTGTCTTAATACCTTCTCATGTACTGCATCCCATTTCTCCATTAGCATCAGAAGTTTCTTTTCTTGCTCTATCAGTTGTGGCTGTAAGTGATCATCATTAAGTTTCTGTTGTATGCCTTTAAGATCCTCCTTCATCTGTTTGAGTTTTTCCTCCACTGATGAATATTGTCTTTGTATTCCTCTAGTATGAATCTCTAGCAGTTTAAGTTTCCTACAGATAGCATACATAGTGTGTCCTTGTATTTCTTGCCTCCATATATTTTCACTGCTGCCTTATACTCTTCCTGTTGTAACATTACATTTAGTAATCTATAAGGTTTCCTCATCTTCATTCTGTGAACTTCTGTGTTCAATAAGATAGGTGTGTGGTCAGAACATCCAGGCATTAAGTATATTGCTTCAATACCTGCATATAGCCAAAACCATTCTGCATTACCAAACGCCTAGTCTATATGACTGTATATCCTGTCTTCAGCCCCACTCTTATTACTCCATGAAAACTGCATCCCTTTTTTATTTATCAAACCTACTCCAATATCAGAAATGCATTGTTTGAAATCAGCCATTTTATTTTGGTGAACAGGAACCCCATTAATTCTATCCTCCACTGATAGGACACTATTGAAATCCCCTATAATCAACCAAGGGCCATTGGTTACTGCATTGATGTCTCTTAATTGATCCCATAGAGCTCTTCTATCAGCTATAGTATGTAGGCCATACACAATAGTTAAGTCACTCTGAAATTTAGAATTTCTATCTTGTATATGGCAGTGGATCAGCTGTGATGATAGCTACATAACAACTAAGTTTACTGCTGACCCTTTCTAACACAGCCGAATTCTACCATTAGGAGCCTCAGTATAGTTATCAATGACTTCCCAATCTCTATCAATCTTCTTCTGTATATCCCTTGCTCTCCTTTTCTAGTCTCCAAACATCCTATCAAATCAATTTTATTCTCTACAAGGAAGCTTTTAAACTCCCTCTGCTTAAAGACTTGTTTGGTCCTCTAATATTCCATGTACTGAAAATCATATTGGTGGGATGGTAGTTGGAGTAGGCCCTTTGGTAATCCCATGTATATGCTCATTGCCTCCATGCCTATCAGGTGGCTCACTTTCCTGAATTCTCAGTGTTGAATATTTGTTTCTCCTTGTCAGCTCTTCATAATCAATTGTTGGTTGGCCTTTTGTATTTGATCTACCATGGTAGACCATAGCCTGTTTGCCTCTTCCTCCAATCTGAATTTGAATCTCCTGTACCTCCTCCTGTGTATTCTCTTCTTCATGTGTTCCCTTCTCAGCAACAGTTGTTTCATTCTCTATATTTGCATCTATCTTAGTTTTCCTCACCCATTTCTTCTTTTTATCTTTCTTCATCTGTACTTGTCTTCCTGTCTGTTTTTCCAGCTTACATTCCCCATTAGGATGCCCAAAGTGGTTGCACTCTTGGCATAATTTTGGTTTCCATTCATACTCCACTGTTTGCACCCTAATTTTACCATCAGACAGTTCTAATTTCAGATCATCTGGTAATGGCTGTGTTATATCCATTTCTATCAACACACGAGCATATGATACTCTTTCACACTGTGTTGTTAGTCTGTCAGTGCATATAGGTTTTTTCAAACAACTTGCAATTCTTCCTAGATTCTCCTCTGCCCAACATTGGATAGGTAATCCTGGCAAGGTGACCCATAGTGGCATCACACGCATAGGTTCCTTATCAAGCTCAAAGTCTGGTTCCCAATTCTTCAGTACCATTGGTCTATTGTTGAAAGTATACGGACCTTTTGCCATAATCTGCATTTTGTCCTCAATTGATTCAAATCTAAATATAAAATAGCCATCATCATGTAGTAATACCGTTGGAGTAGTAACTGAGTTTCACAGCCCATAAGCAAATTTCAGCATCTCTTTGAAAGTAGGATTTCCTCCCATAACATATCCTATGAGTGCTGACTCCAATTTTTTGCATTGCTGTGCCATTTCTTCCTGATTCAGCTTCACAACTTTAACTCCATCCCTCACCTCAGGTGGATAGAATTTGAGCTGCATCCCTTGTTGTACTGTTCTATTGCCTTTGACCACATCTGCCATAGTTCTCTTCTCCTCTCCAGATCCAGTAGAATAGGTCAGTTTCCTTGCTCCTGTAGCTATAGCGTTCTCATTCAACTTTGTAGTTTCGATTTCCTTCAGCGGTGGGGCTTGCATGATTGTCGGTGCACTCCCCATACCTGGCATCCATTGTAGCAACTGAACTGGAGCTAATTGTTGTATAACTCCTGATTCAGGTGTAACCATTCGATTCGAAGTTTCCTCATTACTTTCCTCCGTTTGTATTTGTTGCGAATTAGGTTTCCGATTTGTTTTCCGGCGAGTCATCGTCGTCCGCGCACATTAGCTATCCTTGCTAAAAATGCGCCGAGAGAAAACCACCTAAACGATTTTTTTTATATTTGTACAAAATCTAATTTTAAGATTTTGCTAAACCAATTTATTAGAAGGCGTTTATTTTTGTGTGTGTGTATTTTATTTTATTTTTTCGTAATTAAATAGTGACATTCTCTTCTTCTTCTTTTTTTTGGTGTGTGTGTGTGTGTTGGGG